ATTGAAAACTAAGCAACTTATTAATTAACTTTTATGTAATTTCTTACAATTAAAGTAAACAAAAAAGCAAATAGTGCTTCCTATTTTCACAAAAACACATATTAAAGCACAGTAATATGGTTTCAAATAAAGAAGTTTAGCACACCTAAATCATCGGAACCTTTTTTAGAATCTCGTGATCTCGTGTCAAATACAGATTTAAATATAGATTTGTTTTTCATTTGCAGTTTTTTTTTCAACCAACCAATAAACCGAGAGCTTTGCCTTCTGGCTCACCTCCCGCCTCACCACGACAGACCGGTACAGCACCCGCATCACTGCAGACGCAGCACCAATCTGCCTGTCTATCCCCTGCTCCATTCTTCCCTCATTCGTGAACAAGACCCTGAGATACATAAACTCCTCCACTTGGGGCAAGACCCCCACCCCGACCCGAAGGCGGCACGTACCGGTTTCCGGCTCAAGACCATGGTCTCGGATTTGGAGACACTGATCCTCATCCCAGCCGCTTCACACTCCACTTTGAACCGCTCCAGTGAGAGCTGAGATCAGAATCTGATGAAGCCAATACGACCACATCATCCACAAAAAGCAGAGATGTGATCCTAAGGTCACCAAAAAGGATCCCCTCAACACCTCGGCTGCTCCTAGAAATTCTGTCCATAAAAGTTATGAACAGAATCGGTGACAAAGGACAACCTTGGTGGAGTCCAACTCTCACTGGAAACGAGTCTGACTTACTACCAGCAATGTGGACCAAGCTCTGGCACCGGTCCTACAGAGACCTAACAGCCCGTGTCAATGGGCCTGGTACCCCTGGTTCCCCTGGAACGTGTTCGAAGTTCCCCCGGAGGAGTGAGTTGAAGCTCAGTCTGACAGGAGACTCTGACAGACTTTCCCAGCAGACCCTCACTATACGTTTGGGTCTGCCAGGTCTGACCAGCTTCCTCCCCCACCAACGGAGCCAACTCACCACCAGGTAGTGGTCAGTTGACAGCTCCGCCCCTCTCTTCACCTGAGTGTTCAAAACATGCAGCTGCAGATCAGAAGAAACAACAACAAAGTTGATCATTGAACTGCAGTCCAGGGTGTCCTGGTGCCAAGAGCACATACGTATGGACACCCTTATGTTTGAACATGGTGTTTGTTATGGACAATCCATGACGAGCACAGAAGTCCAATAACAAAACACTGCTCAGGTTCAGATCGGGGGGGGGGGGTTCCTCCCAACCACGCCTCTCCAGGTCCCACTGTCATTACCCACGTGAGCGTTGAAGTCCCCCAGCAGAGCGAGGGAGTCCCCGTTAGGAGTGCTCTCCAACACCCCCTCCAAGGACTCCAGAAAGGGTGGGTAATCTGAGCTGCTGTTAGGCTCATAGGCACAAACAACATTCAGGACCCATCCCCCCACCCGTAGGCGGAGGGAGGCTACCTCTCATTCATCGGGGTGAACCCCAACGTACAGGCACCGAGATTGGGGGCAATGAGTATGCCCACTCCTGCTCGGTGCCTCTCAGCCTGGGCAACTCCAGAGTGGAAGAGTGTCCAACCCCTCTGGAGGAGACTGGTTCCAGAGCCAGAGTGGTGTGTCGAGGTGAGTCCAACTATATCTAGTCTGAACCTCTCAACCTCACACACCAGCTCAGGCTCCTCCCCCACCAGAGAGGTGACATTTCACGTCCCTAGAGCCAGCTTCTGTAGCCGAGGATCGGACCGCCAAGGTCCTCGCCTTCAACCACTGCCCATTACTTAATGCACCTGACCCCTATGGCCCCTCCCACAGGTGGTGAGCCCATAGGAAGGGAGACCCACATCTCCTCTTCGGGCTGTGCCTGACCGGGCTCCATGGGTGAAAGCCCGGCCACCAGGCACTCACCAACGTGCCCCACCTCTAGGCCTGGCTCCAGAGTGGGGCCCCAGTGACCCACGTCTGGGCAAGGGAACACTGAACCCATTTATTGTCTTCATCATAGGGGTCTTTGTGTTTATATTTACTGTATTTATAATTCAATTCAATTCAGTTTATTTYTATAGCACCAAGTCACAACATATGTTGTCTCAGGGCAACATGAAAAAAGAACAATGTAAAGAAGAAACCAGCAGATTGTGTTGAATCACGTCATCACGGTCTCCCATCCTGTTTCTAATTTTAGTGATATTACACAGGTGGAAGAAGGRGGTCCTGGTAACATTTTTAATGTGGGGGTTAAAAGACATGTCCTGATCAAAAATAACACCAAGGTTCNGGCCACTTCACACTCGGCTGCGAACCGCTCCAGTGAGAGCTGGAGATCACGATCTGATGAAGCCAATAGGACCACATCATGCGCAAAAAGCAGAGATGTGATCCTAAGGTCACCAAAAAGGATCCCCTCATCACCTTGGCTGCGCCTAGAAATTCTGTCCATGAAAGTTATGAACAGAATCTATGACAAAGGGCAAACTTGGCAGAGTCCATCTCTCACCGGAAACAAGTCCGACTTACTACCGGCAATGCGGACCAAGTTCTGGCACAGATCATACAGGGACCTAACAGCCCGGTACCCCAGGCTCCTGGAGTACCCTCCATAGGAGTCCCTGAGGGAAATGGTCGAACAGTTGGGCAAACTCCCATGCACCTTCCAAGACCTTGATAAGGGTGTAGAGCTGGTCCGCTGTTCCACAACGTTTTTCCATGGCCTCTCCGAACTCCTCCCACGCCCAAGTTTTTGCCTCAGCAACCACCCAAGCTGCAATCTGCTTGGAATGCCGATACCTATCGGCAGCTTCCGGAGTCCCACAGGCCAAAAAGACCCGATAGGACTACTCCTTCAGCCTGACAGCATCCCTCACCACCGGTGTCCACCAGCGGGTTCGAGGGTTGCCGCCACAACAGGCACAGACAACTTTACGGCCACAGCTCAGGTAAGCCACTTCGATAATGGAGGCACGGAACATGGCCCACTCTGACTCAATGTCCCCCACCTCCCCCAGAACGTGTTCGAAGTTTCCCCTGAGGTGTGAGTTGAAGCTCCGTCTGATGGGAGACTCTTGACAGATGTTCCCAGCAGACCCTCACTATACGTTTGGATCAGCCAGGTCTGACCAGCGTCCTCCCCCACCAACGGAGCCAACTCCCCACCAGGTAGTTGTCAGTTGACAGCTCCGTCCCTCTCTTCACCCCAGTGTCCAAAACATGCGGCCGCAGATCAGATGAAATGACAACAAAGTCGATCATCTAACAGCGGCCTAGGGTGTCCTGGTACCAAGAGCACATATGGACACATTTATGCTTGAACATGGTGTTTGTTATGGACAATCCATGACAAGCACAGAAGTCCAATAACAAAACACCGCTCAGGTTCAGATCGCGGGGGCCGTTCCTCCCAACCACGCCTTTCCAGGTCTCACTGTCATTACCCATGTGAGCACTGAAGTCCCCCAGCAGAACAAGGGAGTCCCCGTTAGGAGCGCTCTCCAACACCCCCTCCAAGGACTCCAGAAAGGGTGGGTAATCTGAACTGCTGTTAAGCACAAACAACAGTCAGGACCCATCCCCCCCACCCGTAGGCGGAGGGAGGCTACCCTCGTTCACTGAAGTGAACCCCAACGTACAGGCACCAAGATGGGGGGTAATAAGTATGCCCACTCCTGCTCGGCGCCTCTCAGCATGGGCAATTCCAGAGTGGAAGAGTGTCTAACCCCTCTCAAGGAGACTGGTTCCAGAGCCAGAGCAGTGCGTCGAGGTGAGTCTAACTATATCTAGTCTGAACCTCTCAACCTCACACAACAGCTAAGGCTCCTTCCCCACCAGAAAGATGACATTCCACGTCCCTAGAGCCAGCTTCTGTAGCCGAGGATCTGACCGCCAAGGTCCCCGCCTTTGACCACTGCCCAACACACATTGCAACCGACCCCTACGGCCCTTCCCACAGGTGGTGAGCCCATGGG